TGTACATTAATGAAATATTTTTATCGAACTGGTTAACATAGCCTTCACCACATTTTCTTAGTTATTGTGTTAAGACATTTATATTCTATGCTTAGTAAATTTAACATGTACTTTTGTAAGATGCACCATAGGTGTGGTCCCACCAATTACCCTCCCTCTACCCATCCTTCTCCCTCCCCTCCCTCTCCATTTTCCCGTTTGTCTTGGGCTATAATTCAAATGAAAGCTATAAATTGGTTTCATAGTAGGGTTGAGTACACTGCATACTTTTTCTTCCATTCTTGAGATACTTTGCTATTCTATTCCAGCTCCATCCATGTAAACATGAAAGAGATAAAGTCTCTATCTTTCTTTAAGGCTGCATAATATTCCATGGTGTACATATACAATTTATTGATCCATTCATGGGTCGATGGGCACTTGGGCTTCTTCCATGAAGTCTAGGCATGTGCTCAGCAGCTAGAGGGGTCTGAGCCCTGCCCCAACCTCTTTGTCTTCATCTTTAATGTGGGAATATAAGAACATTGACCACTGACAGCTGGTTTGAGGAAGTAACCTACATAAGAGTTACCTAGGAAGTAACCCTAGTAACGGAAGTAAGAGTTCCTAGTAGAGAATCTGTTTTGAAAGACGTTCAAGTTCTTTTCCCCATGCTACATTTATAGTCCATGGCGTTATATGTTCTACTCTGCCAAGGCAACCCCAGAGAAGAGTGCATTAACACTCTTCACATGCTTGAAAATGGCTGCCACTTCCAGCCTTATCTTTCCTGATCCCTAACACTGCCTACATGTGTCCCAGCCTACATGTGTACCAGCCCATTGCAAATGAAAACTATAACATGCTCAGGAATGGCAAAGAATATTTTAAAGAATTATTTACACTATTACACTGAAAACAGTTTTGAAATCAGAATATTTATTGTTTTTAATTTTTGTTTATTTTTTTTTATTGTTGGGGAATCATTGAGAGTACAAAGAACCAGGTTACACTGCTTACGTTTGTTAGGTAAAGTCCCTCTCATAATTGTGTCCCACCCCAAGAGGTATTTCACAATCTGTGACCCCCATCCCCTTCCTCCTTCCCTCTATTTAAAAGAAATATAAGACTTTAATCATTAAAGTCTCTTTAACCATTAAATTCTCTTATTTAAGGCTAAATAAGAGATTTTCTGAGCTTTATTTTGAAGGAAGAATAAATAGTAAAAGACAAAGTCGTGTTTATATATGAAACTATTCATTTGCGTGAGTGCATGTGTCTGTGAGAGAATAAGTTTTTAAACAGTATTTTTCAGCAATCAATATTTTTTTCAGAGCAGAAATGGAAAATTCTGTTCTAATTAAATGAAAATTAAGTAGTAAAATGTGCTTTCATTTTATTGTTAATTTTCCATTATATTAACCTTCTCATCAAAACTTCTCTTCATATACTAAAGTTTTTGACTGAACTTCATGAAAAAAGTTTAGAATGCTTTATCTGATTATTTGTACCATGTAGAGAAGAAAACAAAATACATATAAAAGACATAAATATAGCTATTGCAATACATCTTCCATAGAAGGTTGAGCCTGGAGAACAGAATAAGATTGATAACAAGTATGTTCTATTTCCTATTTACACTATTTAGAAGAGCTTAAAAAAACTCCAGTTTACCTAAAGAATGATGTCTAAATACATTAGCCCTTTAGAGCTCCACACATAACTTCCGACTTCCCTGTCAGTTTCTAAAGAAGAGAGTGTTTGTTTTAGTTGTCTTTATACTCTCACCACTGAAAAAGAGATTAGTAAATAGTAGGTACTGAATAAATGTGTCACAAAGGCCCTGGGTACTCACTGTTCCCCAATACAACTTGACTGTTTTCCCTTCAACATTTATGTTCCCAAGAATATATAAACCAGCAAGGCCTTTTACCTTTTTCTCTGCCTATTTCAATTTATTTGTCTTGAAGACAAACTCAAATATCACCTTCTTGATAAAGCCAACCATCTGAACCTCTTCA